ATTGTTTTTTAAGCAATACTTGTAGGGGTTAATTAGGATATTGGGCTAGTGATTAGAAAATATGATTATAGGCCTAGTTGATCAAGATATATAATATCTAAGCTTAGGAACTTGGTAGTTTTTCGACTTAGCACGATAATATGTTTTACAGATTCCGTTTACATGTTTGAGAACTCTATTTAGTCCTAATGATATTTAGGACTCCAACATGTATTGTATGATTGTTAATCATTTGTTTGAGCATGTTGGACATTTATATATGTATGGTTGTTAGGTTGAATGACGTTGTGACCTGTATGGGTCTCGACCTCATATATATATATATATATATATATGTGTGTGTGTACAATGAAGATTACATGGTGGGCCTTGATTCACAGCAACAAACCAGAAAATCAGAAGATTCTTCTACTATGTATAGATATAACCTATTCTACATTTAAGACCATCTCAATTTGGACGATGTACTACTAAGTTAAGATTGCACTGAAAACTGCTAAAAGAAGGAGCTAGCAGTGACTTTGTCATGATATTGGTGAGCTGATACTTAGAAGATATGAGTCGCACATCAAGCTGACGAGTTGATACTCGTTCACGAACGAAATGATAATCAACCTCAACATGCTTCGTCCGTCAATGAAAGATTGGATTGGCGGACAAATAGGTGGCACCAATGTCGTCACACCAATCCAGAGCTCACGCAAGAGGACTTGGATCCAGATTAATTCGGTAGTGGCATCAATAATCGCCTTGTATTCGATCTCCCTACTAGAACGAGAAAATTTCGATTGTTTCCTTGAACTCTAGGAGATAAGATTGCCACCAAAGAAAATCGCATAGCCTCCAGTGCTTCAACAATCATCAGAATTCCTGGCCCAATCAGCATCCGAGAAGGCACTAAAAAAAGCAGTGCTGGACTTTGTAAAACACAAGCCCATATCAAGAGTGTCATGTAGATAACAGAGAATTTGTTTGACCGCTGCCCAATGTACAGAAGTAGAAGTAGGGAGGACATGAACTGACACACTCTGTTGACACAGAAGGAGATATCAAGACGTGTCAAAGACAAATATTCTTAAGCGAGAGCTTCTCACCACCATCCAATAACAACTTCTCACTAGGAAACGTAGGTGTGGGCGCACCTTTTAAGGTGAGCATGTTGGTTCTGGACAATAAATCTTGAATGTAGTTATGTTGTGTCAGAACAAGTCCATTGGAAGTATGGCGGACTCAATCCCAAGAAAATAACTCAAAATGCTAAGATCCTTGACGACAAAATCATCCCGAAGCTATGTAAGAAGTTTCTCAGTAGCCATAGAAGATGAGATGATGATAATAATGTCATGAACATAGATGAAGATATACATCTGAATGCCCGTCTTGTTAAAAATGAAAAGAGAGACATCAGCCTCTGAAGGTGTAAAACCCAGCTGTAATAGTTTGAAGCTAAGGCGAGAAAACCAGGCATGCAGAGCTTGTTTGAGGCCATAAAGGAACTTATCTAGCTTGCAGAGATAACCAGGATGTTGAGAATCCACAAATTTAGGAGGCTGCTTCATATAAACATCTTCCTTAAGAAGGTCATGAAGAAAAGCATTCTGAATATTAATCTGCCGAATAGCCCAACCACGAGAAATAGCAAGAGATAATAAGAGTCAAATGGTAGTGGGCTTAACAACTGGACTGAAGGTATCATCATAATCAACGTCATATGGCTGTTTAAACCCTTTAGCAACTAGGCGTGTTTTGTAGCTATCAATAGAGACATCTGACTTTTGCTTGAGTTTGAAATTCCATTTGCAATCAATAACGTTAAGGCCAGCACGAGGAGGAACTAAGTGCCATGTCTTATTTTTAAGAAATGCCTGAAATTCATCATTCATCGTCTGATGCCAGAGGGGATGCTTTGTAATATGTGAAGTAGGTTCAGAGGCAGAAAACCAAACCACATAATATGTTACTGTTTCATTTGTATGCATCTTGGGTTGCTTGATATTGTGTTTCAGTTGAGTACCGTATGGATGAGTAGTAGGTGCAGGATCTACAACTGAGGGGACATCTGTACCAGCCGTTGCGAGGGGAGCAACCGGTGCTACAGTAGTCGGTTGACAAGCGGATGAGGACTCGATCGGGCGTTGCGCGCTCTAAGGCTAGCCAGGAGACCGTTCCCCAGGATCAGAGCCTAGAGAATCCCGGAGGGGCCAAGGCGATGCAGGAATATCATCTATTGGCAGAGGGTCCGAGGCCCCAATCATTGCCGGAACAACCGATGCCGATTCACGCAGCAGGACGGGGATGATTGCTACGGAAATCCTGAAACTGATGTGGGCACTGAATTTTCTACATTTACAGAGTTAGTAGGAACAGATATATGCATATGATCATTCTCCAAATTAGTTATGTTGTTACCTAAATGCAATGTGCACAAATAAGGGGCATTGTGCAATGGCTGCAAGGTTGGGGAAGAACTGGGTGGGGCTCTCTTGAACGAAAAAACATCTTGAACGAAAAAACATTCTCATCAAATATGACGTCTCTAGAAATATAGGCACGACCAAGATCGGTGTCAAGGCACTTATACCCTTTATGTAGATAACTGTAGCCTAGAAAGACACATTTCTTGGATCGAAAAGACAGCTTTTGTTTGTTATAAGGGCGAAGATGAGCCTAACAAGCACACCCAAAAACTTTTAATAAGGCGTAATTTGGTGGGGTATGGAAAAGACGCTCTAAGGGACATTTGTTATCGATGACACGAGTAGGAAGACGATTGATGAGATATGTGGTTGTAAGAAATGCATCATCCCAAAATTTAACAAGTACATCAGAATGAGCTCGAAGGGCTAGATCAATTTCAACAATATGATAGTGCTTGCGTTCAGCAGATCCATTTTGTTGATGCATATGAGGGCACGAAACATGATGAGCTTCCAAGAGAACGAAAGAATGTGTTATGAATTTTCTGATATTCCCCACTCCAATCAGACTGGACACAGTTGATTTTAGTATCTAGAAGCCGCTCAACATGAGCTTGGAACTGCAAAAGTATACGAGGAGCTTCTGTACGATCATGCATCAAATAGATCCACGAAAATTTACTGAAATCATCAATAAAGCTGATATAATATTTAAAGCCTCCAACAGATGGAGGTGCAGGACCCCAAACATCCGGAAAAAATTAGTTCCAAAGGTGACGAAGACCGATGAAAAGAACTAGTGTATGGTAATAATTGATGACTTTTTGCTAACTGACACACATTACAAACTGGCAAAGGTGATTCACTGACACACAAAATATTATTGAGAGCAAAATTGACTTTAATACTTGAGATGAAGGATGTCCAACACGTGCATGCCATTGGGTGCGAGTAGTAGATCTGCTCACTAAGGCGTGCTTTAGATCATCAACATCAGATGACTTGATAGGATAGAGACCAAACTCACCTACCGTCTAGAAGACTTTTCCTCGACCGTTGATCCTTAAAAGAAAATTTTCAAAGATGGTATTCAAAGAATACGTCATTATCACGAGAAAATTTATGAATGGAAAGAAGATGTTTGGAAATTTCAGGCACATGCAAAATATTACGCAATGCAAGAGGCGAGCAGTAGTATTAATTGAAGAATGATGAGTATGCAAAATCCATAACCTGCTCCATTGCCGACTTGAACTTATTCACCTCCATGATAGTGTTCATGCACAACAAGACGATCAAGGTCATTAATGATAAGATCAGTGGCGCCTATGTCCTTATACTAATTTGGATCAACCTTGTAGGAGGAAGTAGCCGCCAATGCCGCAAAAGGAGGTTTATCTTGATAGGACTCATCCATCCTATACCAGAAGCGAACGACAGTGTGCCCCACTTTACCGCAGATCTAGCAAGAAGGATGAGCAGAAGAGTCACGATGATCACCAGCAAGATGAGAGGGTGCGCCACCTCGAGAATGGTCACGACCACAATCCTTACGCCCACGGTTCTTCTGCTGACCACCACGACCAGCATAATTGGCTGAAGATCCAAGCTTTAACTCAAGTTCAGCTTAGTGTTGTAGTTGGCAAGCTTCAAACGTCATTAGATGTGCAAACACATCATCAAGTGTGATGACTTCACACTTGGTAGTCATCGAGGTGACGAAGGGATCATAGTTAGGGTCAAGACCAGCGAGGAGATACACAATCAGCTTGGTGCCCAGCCCTTTGATCTTGCAAAAATAATTTACAGTAGACAGATCACGTTTCTTAGACGTGGCAAGCTCAACACGGATTTAAACAGTGCGAGTACGAGTTGACGATGAAAACATAAGCTGCAGGTACCCCATGCCTCCTTGGAAGTAGTAGCGGCAACCACATTGCAAAGAATCTCTTCAGACATGGAGGAGAGAAGGCCGCTAAGGACCTATTGATCCTGATCATACCACTGATCATAAGCCAGATTAGAGACCAGGTCAGTACCAATAGCGATTGAGGAAGGGATCAGCTTGGCAGGTGCAACAATGGTGCTATCGAGGTAGCTCATAAGCTTTGTACTCCGTAGGTAGGGGAGGAGCTAGGCGCACCATATGATGAAGTTGTTCTTGGTGAGATGGATTGTGACAGCGTGGTGGAGGGGGATTGGGACAAAGGTTGACGCCATGGTAGATAAGATCGTGTCGGAGATGGTGTATGAGGAGGCGAAAGAGGATACTTTTGTATTAGAATTGACCGTATGTTTGAATTATAAACTTTGCGCGTGTCCCTCGTTTTACAATTTTGAAAAATCTTACCGTCTTTACCATTGAACCTATGTGGCGATTCATGATTCGGAGTCTCGAAAAACGAGTCATTACATATCTATCTATCTATCTATATATATATATATATACACACACATACATACTATATAAAGGATTGTTTGAATTAAATGTGTTAAAATTTACCTTAAAGTGATACAAATTAATTATAAAAATAGATTAATAAATATGGATGTAGAAATAAAGGATAAAATGGTAAAAGCAAAATTTCAAATCCCAAAAAGTAAAGAACTCGCAAAACCCTCCCACGCGAATTTTTGTCGAACTGAATTGAAAAAAGTCCATTGTGCTGATATCGGCGGCAAATTGCGTTCTTGATTCCCAATCCGCACTTCCACGGTAAAGAGGTTTAGGTACGAATACGATTCGATACTGGTAGTTACTGAATTTTGTTGTTGTTCTTGAGAATTTCACTTGAATTTGTTCATTTTTTCCCGAAGCCCTAATTTTTATTCAGACACTCAGAATGCATATGCGTGCCTCTTTTTACCTTCTGCACGATTGTTTCATTTCTCTGTACTTACCTCGGATCGCACATGGTTATGATGTGCAAGATTTTTGTTCTTGTTAACACACACATTAAGAAATAGACTCTTGTTCAGAGTTTCTCACAACATCAAAATGCTTTGCGCATTACACTTTTTTTATGTTCATCTCCAAGCTTCGAAACCCACAATTCATAAAGAAAAAGCTAAAAACCAAAAGGAAAGGTCACATGTTGGGTTGTACAGATTCAGTAGGCTCCACAGTGAGCAGATGGGTAATTGATTTGAGTGAATCTGAGCAGCTTCTGGGGAAGACAGGAGATAGCTTCTACATGAATTCATACAATAGTATCCGTAGGAGATGGACTAAGTTAAGAAGCTTTGTTAAGAGCTAGCTGATGGATTACAAAACAATCTCTCTGTATTCCAACCTGCAACTTGAACTTGAAGTGCATAACAGATTCAAAATCACCATCTCTTCAAAAGAAATTCAATGGTATCTTGTGAAGTAGCTCAACTCTTTTTGTCAACTGCACAATCATTTATCTCTATTATCTTTTAACTGCGCTTCTAGTTTCAGTATAGAGCTCACTGTTGAGGACTTTCTCTAGTAAGCTTCACTATACACATCTCTAAGAATAAAAACTGAAAACTAAACATTAAACCCCTTTTGATAATCATTACGTTTTTTGCTTTCAGCTTTTGAAAATATATATAAATACTATTTCCTATTAGGTATTTGTTTTTGGTTTGTTACCCACTCTTCAAAAACATTTTCAAAATCTAAACCAATTTTTGAAAACTAACAAAAAACAAAAATTGTTTTTAAGGAATGTGAAAAACATACCCAGGAAATTGTGGGAAATCATGCTAATTTTCAAAAACAGAAAACTAAAAGCGGAATCATTATCAAACGGGGTATAAATGATCAAGCCAACCAACCATTGGAGAAACCAGATTCTTGCTGGTGTTTCCTCCTCTGCTATGGTCTGAACCTATCTCTGTTTCCTTCCTTTTGTTGATGCCGAACTTGTGGGTTCCTTCAGCAAACAAAATTAATGAACTAAGACTTGTTGTGGATAGGATCCGAACCTTGTCGAACCCGTCTTTTGCTTGATTGATTTGGATCAAACTTGCTGTTTCGTGGTAGTGAATTCCTTTTCATGTTCTTTTCCTCCACCCTCGAGTCTTCAACAAGAATGTGGCGACTAGATCTTAGAGCAAGGTCTATGCTTCTCAAAGCACAAGTCTGATCTGGTTGAACAGCTAAAAGTGCAACACACATGAGGAGGACAACCAGTACTCTGTGTATACTGAAAACCATGGCTTCTACAATGAAGCAAAAAAAGAGAGAGAAAGAGGATAGATATTTTGATTTTTTTCTCTCCTTTTTTCTTCTGTTTTGTTTCTGTGGTAGGTTGATTCCTGTAGTAGACACACAAGGCTGCTATTTATCTGCATTGGTTTTGGAAGTGGCTTTAAAGCATAAAGCAGAATTGGGCCCTCAAACATCTAGACCAATTATAGATTCATTCAAATCATAAGCCTGCAAATCTAAGGCTGTTAACCAAGAATCACAAGGATGAATAAAGGTGTTTCTTGGAACAATGCCTCTGAGAAGCCAAGCATCTTTTTTCCTATTTTATTTCCTCATCTCTATATCCACTCCCTCCTTCCTTTTTATATCCTTATCCACCCCCAAAATGCATAAAACCAAACTCCATAGGCTTTGCCAAATCGCCTCCTCATTCGTAAACACACCATCCATTTGAATACATCTATTCAGTTGAAAGAAATTCCCAACATAGCAGGAATTTTTCTTTCGGGTTCATGTCCCACTTGGAATCTTAAACACTGCAACTAGTTAATTTTCAAAACACTGTAATAGAATCTGTGGTTACATTTCTTTCAGGGCTGTTTTTGTAATATAACCTTCCTTTGCTATTAAGAAAAGGGGATTGTTGATGGTTTGCTTTCTTTTGAAATGGGGTTGGATAAGAATTATTAAGGAGGCAGAGAAGAAGAAATGGGCCAACTATAAAACTGATATTATTATAATTAGACATATGTTACAGAGCCAGAGAAGAAAAAGAAGAAAACAAACGCTTGCTTTGGGCCATCCTAAGATTTCCTTCTGCGGTTCCACTTTTGAATTCCAAGCTCTCCTTCCTATGCAACTAAAACAACACTCTGTTTATTGTTTGTTAAACCAAATTTCATCATGCCTTTCTTTTGCTTTCTATAAATTATTCCTTTTTGAGTTTCCAAGCCTATTTAATGTTCATTTCTTTATACTCTGTCACTTATGTGAGTCTAAACTTTGTCGCTCTCACATTTACATCTTTTGTCTTTACATTATATTTAAATCCTATTTTGATCTTTAATTTTTTTTTTAATCTTAATTCGGTTTCTAATTTTCTAAGATGCCTACTTTGATTTACAAGCTTTTACATTTGTTCTAACTTTAATTCCTAAACTTTTTAATCATTTGTTTTAGTTTTTAAACATTAAAAACACAATAAATTTAGTCTTTATCTCTGTTTTTCTTTATAAAAATTAATAGCATAACTTCAAGTAAAGATACTAGCATGTTGAGAAGCATATTTTAGCTATATAGGTTGAAGACGAGCATTGAACAAGAAAATATTAGATGATAAAATTATATTGTAATTTAGTTACTGAATAAATATTTGAAAACTTTAAGGATAAAATGTAAACAAATTTAAAAACTGAGAAACGGAAATGAAAAAACTAGAAAATAAAAAAGTAAACAAATTTGGTTTATAGTGGTGGATACCACATGCAAGTTGGGATTGTTGGAACATTCTAAAGCCAAAGTTGCAGCCTTTACTGAAAATAGAGTGGGCACGGTGGCTGACTGGTCAATGTAGGAAAAACGGTGCCGTTTTGGGTGGGATGCTGATGGTGATGTTATTGCTTACGGTGATGCTATTAAAATATTGTCCTCGCCTTCTTTTTCATTCTCCAATTAAAAGCAAAAGAGTTGGAATGAGATGTTGCTTTATGGTCTGCATTTCCGTCCATATGGGCTTTCTTAACTTTCTTTTCATGGTTTCTCCCGCACCTAATCATAATTCCCATTATTACATTATTCTTCCCTCACTTTAGATCACCCCAAAACATTTCTATTATCCTTTTCACTTTAATTGTTTTTTTTTTTGTTCTATTATTTAATTGAGTATATTAAATTTAAATTTTAAATTCTTTAAGCAAAATTTGCAACAATTTTGGTTGCTCTTTCATAATCATTTTCTAGAGTTGAATGTTTTTTACATCAGTTTCTAGAAATTAAGACTTCATTTGGTGACCATTTTACTTTTTAAGAATTATGCTTATTTTGTTCATAAGTTTTCTACCATAGTTTTCATTTTTCTTAGAAAAACATTTGAATCATTAGTCTTTTTTTGGGTATAAAATTAGACCGTTTTTAAAATTTATTTATTTTTACTTTTGAAAACATCTCGAAAAAGTAGATAGTAAAACCAAGAAACCTATAGTAAAAAATCAAATAAACTTATCTTGAATTTTGAAAACATCTCGAAAAAGTAGATAGTAAAACCAAGAAACCTATAGTAAAAAATCAAATGAGTATTAGGACCTAAAACAAAATGGTTTTTGTTTTTAATATCTAGATAACTATTCGTATGTAAATTAAAAAAAAAAAAGGTGAATGTATACTCAATACAATGTAAGAAAATATACATAAAATTAAAATAAAAAAGACGAAAGTCTTATCAAGACCATTTTGAATGTTTTGGACCATGAATGTTATATATTTTTGTTTTGGATTTAGTTTCCACCTACAATATTAAACGGATATTGGAGGGGGAAAAAGAATAAAAAAGAAATGGAGAGTTGGATTTAGGGTTCCCTCCTCTATGTAAAGGAAGGGTCAAAGTGGAATGACATGACAGTGACTTGATCCCAGAAGAAAAGTTTATGAAAGCGAGTCAGTGTCAGCTCTGATTATTACTATTTTTTGGTTACAGATCATTTCCCATCTTTGAATCCCTCTCTTTTCACATTTTTCAATTTCATTTAGTCTCTGTCTTTATTTCATCCCATCATAAACGGCCCAAGAGATACAAAAGTGGAAGGTGCAAAGGGTATGCCTTCAAAACATGTTTGAGACAGATACTTATTTCAGTCAGATTTTTGTTGTTCTTTTTTCAATGGCATCAACTGCAAATTAATGCTGCATTCTCTTTCTGAATAATGTAATAATGTTACCTAAATAATCCTATCCTTTGTGTTCTCTGATCTTTTAGGCTTAAAATGAGTTCTTTATTCCATATGCAATTTCTTCTAACTTGCATCACCTAAACTACTACACGCATGAATATGGTTTCGCTTATTTTTCACTTTGTCTCTAGTATTGGGTATTTGAGACTATGCTTGCATAGATTGCATTTGATCTTGCACACCGCCTTTATGTACGGTTTTAGCTATATTTGTGACTCTAATTTCCTTGTATACTTTATTCCTAGCTCCACATCTAAGTGATGCCCCTGTCGTAGGCCAAGATCTTTCCCTTCATCTCTATTTATGGCTCCATTGTTTGACTACTGCACTGAGAGAGTACTTCGCCCTCGTGAGAGTTAGCTACGCCTTATTTCGATAAACTTGACCCATGGGAAGGAGAATAATTCTAGCATGCACATGCCTCCCAACACTGTTCTCAAGGTTTTCATCCCTATAGGAAGACCCTCAAGATCCAAGACCCACCCATCTTATGATGTTTGATTGTACCATGACATAGGCATGTGCCATTAGATAGTTCACTCAGAACTTCATTTATTGTAAGGTGGGGAGAGATGACAACCTGCCTCCATAAAGGACTTTCTAAGACTGCCTTTGATAGGCACAAACGTCAAAAGTAGTCAAGGGTGTTCAAACCTGACATACAACATTCTTTTCTATACCATTGGTGTGATTTCAAGCCTATATTTGCCCATTCCAAAGTGATGCAACATGAATGTGGTTGATTGTGACATCCTCGCTGTAACGACCCTATTTCTAGCATAAGATTGGATTGTTAGTACATATATGTCGTGATGATTTTTTGAACAAATTCAAGTGAAATTCTACGGGGGTGACTTAAGCTCATTCCATAGAAATTCTACTTACCTAAGGTAAGAAAACTAGCATGCATGTATACTAAGTGATTCCTATAAGTATTTATTCCTAAAATTATGTGTGGTGACTTACTTGGTTGACGCGTGCTCTTTCGTTAACGTTTCTATGCAAGTAGAATGTCAAAAAATATTGATTTTCCTCGATTAAGTCCCTATTCAATAAAAACATGGTTAGAATTTGAATCAAGACGAAAATCAGGCAAACAATAGTTGAACGAGTCAAAAAATCGCTTTCACGCATCGAGATTGTCCACTTGAAGGTTCCACGTGCGAGTGCCACGCGCGGAGAAGATATCTACAGTCGCAGGTCACGGACTAGGTATCTGGCAATGGTTCGGGTTGGATCGGTCAGCTGCTTCGCTGGGTCGCAGATCAATACGTGGGTTTGTGGGTCAGGTCAGCTGCATGTTAAGGAAAGGACGAAGCTATGTTGCTCCACCCGGTGTATGACGCGATAATAGGATAAAGTATTCTAAGGAGTCCATCATGCTTTACATTTGTGCTTAATATGTATCTGCTTATTCATTCTAAAAGGAGGATGGAAAAATTGTGAACTCTACGTTCCAGGTGCTAATGGATGTTATCGCCCTATTGAGCATGTTTGTCAATTTTGCATGAACTATGTATGATATATCTAGATGTTGATGTTTGCACACTAAGTTAATGCTTGTTGTTGCACACTAAGATAATGTTTATGAATCGTTATTACGATAACCCTAGGGATTCATGATTTGAGTGACGAGTCACTGAGTTTAAACCTATCCCTTCCCTAAGAGCCTAACAAATCACCACGACAAACGAAGTACCTTAGGAGTATTCTTAGGCTGCTAGTTGTGTGAACGGTATCTATAGTTTCGTGGGAGAACCAGGAGTTCTTGATTAGTTCTCACTACTCCTAGCCGTTTCGCATGGGAAATGTGTCCCCTCGTCGTACACTCATTAGCTGCATGGGAAAGGGTTAGGTCGCACCCCTTAACAGGGGACTATCATGGGCCTAGGAGGTACTCAGCACACCCTTAGGTAAGATGCCATATAGTCTTAGATAGCCATGTAGAGGTAGCATCTCATAGAAAAACATCGCTCATTACAACTCGACATAAGGAACTCTTATGTATTAAATGAAAGGACGGAGAACCAAAGAAGTTTCAAGGAGCTAAGACTAAAACCAAACGTCCTAGAGCCAATGAGAAGTCCGTGTTCGTCTATTAAGCCTAGAGCGCGATGAGAGCCTACAAGTAGGAGGTTTACTGAGTATAACTTTTATACTCATTCTTGTTATGTCTTCTTTTTTTTCAGGTGTATGAGACGTCGGGTTAAGAGAGGGTGTGATCAGAGATGTGGATTATCACAAAAGAATGCATGTCTCGAGGCATCAGTCCAATCTTTTCTTCTATATTCAAATTTTCATTATCTTTTTTCTCTGAACTGTCATCATTTGAACCTTTGTATGGAAGTTTTACTTGAAATAAATAATTTTGCCTTAATGCATTTTCAAATGTTTTTTTTTTTTTTTTTTTTTTGCATTCATGTTATCGTTTTGAGTCACGACTCATAGTAAAATATTGGGTCGCGACAATAGTACCCCACACTTGCAAGCGTGAGCCCACCAGGCGGTTCGCACGCCCCCTCTAGACCCATCATAGTCGGGCTAGTTAGCTGTAGTTGGACGTTCGGAGGTACAACGAACGCTCGAATATTATGCAAGCATGATGATGATCATCATCATAGTGTACGGGCTCGTACTCATCATCATAAAAGAGGAAGTAGATGTAAATTTTATCATCTTAAATTATTCATGTGATACAATTCCACGCATCCTTCCCATATTACACTATGTAACATGCATGCATAAGTTTTCATACATTTATTATTTATAACATAATTTAGGATTGTGTATTAGAAACGGTTCATCATAATGAAATATGATATTTCATACATGCATATCATTGTAACATGAGATATCATCATCATACTTCTCATGTCATCATGCCATAATGCATCATCATCTCAACGTATCATAACATCATAGTACATCATGTTGTCATAACATCAAACCACCATCTTAACGCGTCATAATGTCATCAAATCACATCATCATAGCATCATCATAATACATCATAACATCATATCATCAGACAAGTCTTTCGATCGAGCTGATAGTAAGGTCACTTCTTTGGTTGGCCTTAGCCGACGTTTTATCTTATTTTCAAGATTGACTTGACTTGTCCCTCAAAATTCATATTAACCTGCGTGGAAGTACTCCACCGGATTAGAAATATCCCCTTAATTCTTTTCATAGTCCTACTTCTTACCTAATTACTTATATAAACGAGAATTTATATTTTTTATAAAATTATTTTCATACAAATAATTTAAAACAGTTTAACAATCTTGAGATTTTTCCTTTTATGTCTTTCTATGTTTCTCCTTTTCTTTTTATTCCATACTTATTTTTTAATTATGTTCATAAGCTATCGTGTGATTTTTATTCCTTTTAAATACTAATTTGTATCCTTCAATTTTTTCTTTATTTAGTGTTAATATGAGCTAGCATGAAGATTTTATATTAACTAAACTCTTTAATTAATCGATTTTCATTTATTAACTATAAGTCATACATAGACTTACCGTACTCTTATGTATTGTAGAATAAGTTGTCCATTGATATAATAATTATTAGTAAATCAATTCTTCATATGAGTTAGTTCGCAATTACAGATGGATTAAAAGTCAGTTCATAAACTCAGTTCTCTCCTAAGCCAATGAAAAGGTGGAGCCGTCTTGAAATCAGCATTTAAAGGGACAACTCATCCACTTACTCATGAATTAGAAAGAATGAATTCTCTGTTGTGAAATTATGTTCCCAGTTCTCTATTTGGTAAAGTCTCCAAAATGATAGGCATATTGAATGGTCTACAAAAAAAATCATTATTACCCATGCAAATCAAAGGATAATCCCTCGTCATAAGCAAAAGTTCATAGCTCACTCAGCATTAAGATCGAGTCGCATAGATCATCTTGATCTTCTCAATTAATGGAATTATATAAAGAGATTAAATATTTCGTGGTCCAGTAACAATTACAAGTGGACTGTATCAATAGTATTACCAGTATAAGCATAAGATACCCAACTTTATCCGTATAGTATACACCTTTCGGAACATGCACATATGGTTAATGATAAGTTCACTCTCTTAAATTTTTAATTTTTAATTTTTATATATATTCTAAATTTAAAGAAATTAAATGTTTAACTTTATGTATAATATTCCTATTATGGGACAAAATATACATATGTTTATGGATTCAATCCGAGAGAGAGAGAAGATTCAAACCTTCGCTTTTTTATGGATCAGTTTTTGAGCGGCGGTTGGCATTGGAAGGGGTCGGATCGAATGGCGGCTGAGGCGGAGGCTGAGGCTGAGGCGGAGGCCGAGGAAACATTTTTACGCGCATTGCGGAATGCCGAGTACGGAAATTGGAGTCCCTATATATGTAAACAACAGAAATTCAACCTTTTCTTTAATTTTAATTTCTGAATAAAGTGTTCTTGTTCTTCGTCTCCGAGACAGAGCATCGCCGGAGAAGAGAGCAAGACCGAGACAGAAAGGGCGATACGTTTTCACAGATTGCCCTCTCCGTCTCGATCGACCTTATTTATTAATAATCACATTACCTATAATATTATTCTTCCCTTTTCATTTTCATTTTCATTTTCATGTGTTCCCTCATTTTTCCTCCCCTTAATTCCTAGTCTTTCATGCGACGGTTGAATGCCCTTAAGAAGAGGCACGATTCTAGAATTCCCATTATGGATCCCACCAAGCTGCACCTTCGATCTAGCAGCCGACCCAATTTGTTCGCCAGGACCAACTTCAAGAATTCTTCCAAATCCAGATGCTGGCTTCCCCTTGCAGCCCTGCTTGCGTTTGCTTTCTTGTTCTCTTATATCCTCGTTTTTACAACCAACTTCCGCAGCTCCTTGAAGAGAAGGTACGGAATCGTTATCGATGGAGGTAGCACAGGGACTCGACTCCACGTGTTTCGCTACAGAGTGGAGGGTGGTTATGGGGTTTTTGATTTGGGCGAAGAGGAATTGGCGTCGATGAAGGTGAATCCTGGGCTGTCGGCGTATGCAGAAGATCCAGACGGAGCTGGAGAGTCTTTGGTGGAGCTTTTGGAGTATGCCAAGACTCGGGTTCCAAGGGATCAATGGGGGGTCACTGAAATTCGGTTAATGGCAACGGCGGGGCTAAGAGTGCTGGAATTGGATGTACAGAACCGCATATTGGAGTCTTGCCGGTGGGTGCTTCGCTCTTCGGGCTTCAAATTCCGGGATGAATGGGCGTCGGTCATTACAGGTTTCAACTTCTCTTCTCAACCTCTGCATTGTTTTCCTATTGTTGGTGTGTTTTCTCAAAGGCATTTGTTCTAGCTTCTGAATTTGTTTATAATGCATATCTGCTGACGTTATGTAAGTAATGGGTGTGTTAGGTTCTGATGAAGGGACTTATGCGTGGGTTGCGGCTAACTATGCACTTGGCACTCTTGGAAGCGATCCCCTCGAGACAACTGGAATCATTGAACTTGGTGGAGCTTCTGCTCAGGTTTGTATTGACCTTATTTACTTTTAATCAGGCACAGTTTGTCTTCCGAGGGTGTTGCATCGATCTTATTTACTGAAATTTAGATGTTCTTGATATATATATATATATATATTTCTTGTTTAGATGTGAAGCTTTCATTGAAAATATGAAAGAATGTACATGGACAAAAGCCCTAAAACGTTGGGAAGAAATGTTGG